CGCCAGCCCTGTGTCTGCTGGGACCAGGACAGGGTCTGAGCCTGGGCAGGCAGCCTAGAGAGCACCCCTCCTGGCAACCACCGCCCCGACTCGCACCTGTCCAGCATCACAGACCCTGTGAGGAAGCCGCCGAGGGAAAGTCACACTGGAGAAATTCAGGAGGAGGTGCCTGAGACCCGCCAAGGGGCCAAGCTCAATAAACAGGTGGAAGGAGACAGAGTCGGTGCCACCCCGTGAGCCTGGAGGTATGAGCCCTGTGATGCTGGTGGCACGGAGGATGGTGCTGACAGAAGCCACAGCTGTCAACTACTGAGCCCTTTCTGTATGTCACTGTGCCACTAAGCACACTCTCACTTAGACTCCCAACAGCCACACCCACAAGGCAGGCAGACCCTGCTACCACACCCCCTCTTGCAGAGAAGACTGAGCCTCCGGAGGTGGGGTCCTGGTGTCCATGGCCACTCAGCTGGCCAGGGCGCAGCTAGGACTTGACCCTCACACTTTGCAACCACGCTCCTTCCTAGCTGCCATGGTGATGTAAATGTCCGGCTCAGAAGGCGAGTAAACTTAAATGTTCTCCAGGAAGAGAGCCACTGGCCATAGGCTAAGACCGACTCCAGAGCCACCAGGCCAGAAACCAACAAGTGCTTGGAAGCTCCACCAAGGTACAGTCCCCATGCAGGGCGCTGGGCTGTGCAGGCATGCCACTGGCTTGCAGAGAGCTCTGAGCTGCTTTCCCTGTCGCAAGTCACCAGATCCCAGCTGCAGGCCCCACCTCTCGCCTCTAATGAGCCGTCCCAGTCGCCTCCTTCCAGAAGGATGGGTGGGTGGCCTGTCCTGCAGTGTGTTTGGGAAGGGGCAGAGAAGGGTGGCAGGGGCACGAAAGGAAGAAAACCTGGAGGAAGGAGACAGGAGCACACCATCCTCCCACTGCCCCCCGCCGCGCTGGGGATTAGGGATTTGGGATTTGGCCCCGTGTGGGATGCTGGCGGGCTGCCTCTGGGAGCCAAAGCCAGAGCCAGGAGTGCTCACAGCCGTCCCATCTCCTCATCGGAATCCCAAACAAACACTGTTGCCTGGAAACACCGCCTCGCCCCAGCATCCCTGGGCTGAATCATGGGGCCAGGGCCCCGAGATGTTCTCTGGCCGCCATCGCCTGTTCAACTCTTTCATTTCTCAAATGGAAAGACTGAGGCCCAGGGAGGGGAGAAGGGAAGGGTCTTGCTCAAGGTCAGCGGGCAAGCTGGGGTGAAGCTGGGACGGGACCCCAGGTCTTCTGCCACCTGACCTCACACCCAGCCCAGGCCCATGTCTTGTGTCTCCGAGGCTTCGACATAGTCCTGGGCATGGGATATTGCTCAGTCAATGCTGCTGACTTCAATTTTGAATTTACAACTTGAATGTCCTTTTCAAAAACAAGTCCCCCAGGAAAGAAGCACTCAGTGACCATTCCCACCCTTGAACTTCACTGTTGGCTTTCAGGATCATCCCCCAAGGACCTGACCCAGGAGATGAAGAGGAGCCTTGTGCGAAGCTGCTCCAACAGTCTCATTTATGACCGAGAGAGGTGGCAACGTGGCTGTGCCCCACACACAGCGATGGTCTAGTGATGATGGGAGCCGAGCGCCCTGGAATGTTACTTTGCCCTTTAAAAGGAAAAGCAGGCCGGGCGCAGTAGCTCACACCTGTAATCCCAGCACTTTGGGAGGCTGAGGCGGGTGGACCACGAGGTCAGGAGATCGAGACCATCCTGGCCAACATGGTGAAACCCATCTCTACTAAAAATACAAAAAATTAGTCAGGCGTGGTGGTGTGTGCCTGAAGTCCCAGCTGCTGGGGAGGCTGAGGCAGGAGAATGGCTGGAACCCGGGAGGCGGAGATTGCAGTGAGCCAAGATTATGCCATTGCACTCCAGCCTGGCAACAGAGTGAGACTCCATCTCAAAAAAAATAAAAAGGAAAAGGAAAAGCAAGTGACGTGGGCCAGGATGAACTGAGAAAATGGGTAAAAGAGGAAAGGAATCCATGATGAGGACAGAATGTAAGATGCATGAGACTTACTTCTAGGACATCCCCTACCAGGACCAGAGCCACTCCGAAGGGACGGGGATGTGGCTGGGGGGCTCAGAACTTCATGGCTTCTCAGGCTCCTAGGATGCTTCCTCTGTTAGAACTCGCTGACTCAGGGAGCCGAAGATACCTCAGAGTTCAGAGAGCAGTGGCCCGCCTGACACGTGTGCCCCTGTGCGTGTGTCTGTGCGTGTCTGCATGTCTGTGTGTGTGTTGGGGCCCAGCCCCAGGAGCTGCAGGGTCAGGTTCCACGTCACACCCCATGTGTTTCTGTTTCCTCCTCAGTGCCCTGGGCACCGTGCTATCCACCCCACCCACCTCCAGGGCACTGGCAGGAGAGGGCCACCCCTGGCCAAGGGGGAATGGACCCCTCCATTCCCCCTCCTTGGAGGCTCAGCACATCTGGGCTCTCAGCCCTGACAACACCACAGAATTCCCCACGGACAGGAGAAAGGGCTGCCGTGGAGCCCTGTCCTTGGGGCAACTCAGCAAGAAGAGGAGCAAGGGAGCAGGGAGGGCTTTGGAGGGCAGCTGGCCCCTCTCATCCACAACTTGTCAGCCACATCATCCACGTAAGTTCTCCAGCTTCCAGAACGGCAGCTTTGAGGCTGAGCCTGGGGGCATCCTTGGAGAAGGAAGGATGAGGAGGACAAGGGGGAGAGGAAGAGAAGGAACAGGAAAGGGAGGAGGAGGAGGGAAAGGGAAGAGGGAGATGGGGAGGGGAAGAGGAAGAGGATGTAAGGAAGAGGAGGAAGGGGAGGGGAGGGGGAGGGGGAAGCAGACAGACAGAAAGTCTCGCTGTGTGTTTTCCACTTAACTTAAAAAGTTAAGTCTCTGTGACATTCTTGTCGAGTCACTGAGGGACAGGGGGTGTGATGTGTCTGCAAGAGGCTGAGTGTGGCTGTGTGTGTGGACACTGCCATGTGGGGCAGGGAGGGAACCAGAGTACCCAGAGTCTACAAAGCTTCAAGCACAATCAAAAGTGAGGCTATGGCTGGGCGTGGTGGCTCACGCCTGTAATCCCAGCACTTCGGGGGGCCGAGGCGGGTGGATCACCTGAGGCCAGGAGTTTGAGACCAGCCTGACCAGTGTGGTGAAACCCCATCTCTACCAAAACTACAAAAATTAGCTGGGCATAGTAGCAGGCACCTGTAATTCCAGCTACTCAGGAGGCCGGGCCAGGAGAGTCCCTTGAACCCAGGAGGTGGAGGTTGCAGTGAGCCGAGATCATGCCACTGCACTCCAGCCTGAGCAACAAGAGTGAGACTCCGTCTCAAAATAAATAAATAAATAAAAATTTAAAAAGTGAGGGTATTCACAGTCACCAAAAGGTGGAAACAGCCCCAGAGCCCATCAACTGATGAGTGGATACACAGCAGGGGAGCCACCCACACGATGGGACACTACTCGGCCATTAAAAGGAGGCAGGCACTAACCCGGCTATAACATGGATGAACCTGGAAGACATGAAGCTAGGTGACAGAAGCCAGACGCAAAAGGCCACATGCAATTCCATTTATATGAAATGTCCAGAATGGGCAGAAAGCAGATTCGTGGCTGTCGGGGCTGCAGTGGGAACAGGGCAGGAATGGGCGTTTGGTGGCTGCCACTGAGTATGAAGTTTTTTTTGGAAAGTGATGAACATGTTCTAAAATTGGTTCTGGTAATGGTTGCACAAGTCCGAATATACGAAAAACACTGAACAGTGTACTCTAAATAAGCAAATGATACAGTATGTGAATTATATGTCAATAATGTTTTTCTTTTGGAGATGGAGTCTTGCTCTTGTCACCCAGGCTGGAGTGCAATGGCACGATCTCAAGTCACTGTAACCTCCACCTCCCAGGTTCAAGCAATTCCCTGCCTCAGCCTCCTAAGTAGCTAGGATTACAGGCGCCTGCCACCATGCCCAGCTAATTTTTGTATTTTTAGTAAAGACAGGGTTTCACCATCTTGGCCAGGCTGGTCTTGAACTCCTGATATCGTAATCTGCCCACCTCAGCCTCCCAAAGTGCTGGGATTACAGGCGTTAGCCACCGCACCCAGCCTTAAAGCCTTTACATTTAAAAAGTGGGTGAGAATTGAGGTAACAGGTGTGGTAGGACAGGATAAATTTGTAAAAGCTGGAGATGATGTCTCAGTTTGCGGACAGCAACAGCAGGGAAATAACATGAAAGGGAGCAGTTTTTCAGCACATCTGACTTCCTAAGCACTGCACATCCGACATTAACCCACAAGGGTGCTATTTAAATAACATCCACCTTGCAGACGGAGGGACAGGCTAAGAGGAGCCAGTGGCCACCCGGGGTCATACAACTAAGAAGACAGCAAGCAGATCGATCATCAGTGCTGGGCCGGGCGTGGTGGCTCACGCCTGTAATCCAAGCACTTTGGAGGCCAAGGTGGGCGGATCACCTGAAGTCGG